ATGATGCTGCTTGGCCTGCTGTGTTCATCCAGCCCTGCACCTTGTTGTCTCGGATTCTCCAGCATCTGCAGTTCCTACTATCTCAGATTTAGAGTCAGTTTTGTTTACAGCAAAGAAATAGGCCCTTCGTGTCTATGCCGATCACAACATCCATCTATTCTAATCCTATTTTCCAATTTTTGATCTGTAGCCTTTGTGGTGTTTCATGTGCTCATCTAAGTACTACTAAAATGTGTTGAGCGTTCTTACTTCTACACCTTTTTTAGACAAGGAGCTGTAGACATCCACTACCCCCTGGGTGAAAGAGATAACAAGGTGTAAAGCTGGATGAACACAGCAGGCCAAGCAGCATCAGAGGAGCAGGAAGGCTGACGTTTTGGGCCTAGGGTGAATTTCTTTTTCCTCAAATTTGCTTTTAAACCTCCTGCTCCTTGCCTTAAAACTGCACCCACTGGTTATTGATCACTCTACTATGGGGAAGGTTTTTTGCTGTCTACAGAGTTCATGCCCCTCAGAACTTTATATACCTCAACAGATCTTCCCACCCACCCCCCGCCCAAGGTGCCTTTTACTCGAAGGAAAACAACCCAGCCTATTCATAGCTGAATTGCTTTTGCACACTAGTGCAATCACATCCTGCTTACAGTATGGCAACTAGAACTGCATGCAGTACTCCAGCTGCGGCCTGACTGTCCTTGTATATTGGCTCCAACAAAACCTACTTGGAGAAGGCAAGAGACTGGGTCTGAGAAGCATAATAGCCACGATTGAATGGTGGAGCAAACTCAATTGGCCAAATGGGTTAATTTTGCATGCTATATCTTTATGGTCTTGTAATCAATGCCTTAAATAATAAAGGCAAATATCCTATATGCCACATGACCATCTTATCTACCTGTTTTGCTGCCTTCAAGGATCTATTGACATGCACACCAAGGACACTGACATTCTCTGTGTTTCCTAGGGTCCTGCAATTCAATGTGTATTCCCTTGTTTATTAGATTTTGTCAGGATGTATCACTTCACACTTTTCAGGATGAATTCAGTTTGCTACTGTTCAGCCCATCTGACAAGCCAGTTCTAAAGCTTTCCTTCTTGCTCTTTACCAAACTGTCGATTTTTGTGTCATCTGCAAACTAACTGATCATGTCTCTTATGTTCATGTCTAGGTCGTTAACGTACACAACAAACACAGAGGGACCCAGCGTCAAACTCTGTGGCACACCACAGGACACAGTCTTCTTGTCACAAAAACAGCCTTTGACTGCCACTCTTTGCTTTCTGCTACTGTCAATTTTGGATCCAATTTGCCAAACTGCTCTCGAACCCATGAGCTCTTAGCTTCTTAACCAGTCTGCCATGCAAGACCTTGTCTCCATCGACTTCAATTAGGCTTTGACCAGATCAACTGCTCACTACCCTCATCTACATGCCTAGTCAATTCCTCTATTCCTCAAATTTCTGAACATGATCTTCCATTTACAAAACCATGCTGATTGTCCTTGAGTAGTCCTTGCCTCTCCAAGTGGAGATTAATTCTGTCCTTCAGAATGTTTTCCAAACATTCCTCGACCACAGATGTTTTAACACCCTTGAATCATGGTACCACATTAGCTGCCCTCTGGTCTCCTGACATTATTCCTGTAGCCAGAATGGATTTGAAAATTAATTCAAAGTGTCTGCAATCTCCTCCCCTGCCTCCCACAGCAGTCTGCAATACATCACATCTGGGCCTGAAGATTTGTGCACTTTTTGAGCCTGCCAAAATCACTAAAAGCTCACCTCTCTCATTGCTAATTCATTCAAGTATATAATATCCCTGTCTCTGGTTTCTATATGTCCATTATCTTCTTTAGGGGAGGCGATGGCCTAGTGGTATTATCACTGGATTGTTAACCCAGAGACTTGGATAACGTTCTGGGGACCCGGGTTCGAATCCCGCCATGGCAGATGGTGGAATTTGAATTCAGTAAATATCTGGAATGAAAAATCTAATGATGACCATAAATCCATTGTCGATTGTTGGAAAAACCCATCTGGTTCACTAATGTCCTTTGGGGAAGGAAACTGCCATCTTTACCTGGTCTGGCCTACATGTGACTCCAGACCCACAGCAATGTGGTTGACTCTTAACTGCCCTCTGGGCAATTAGGGATGGGCAATAAATGCTGCCTGGTCAGTGATGCCCTCATCCCATGAATGAATAAAGAAAAAAAAAATAGCGACTACAGAGGTAAAGGACTCCTTTAAAACCTCAGCTGTCTTTGGTGGTGGTATTGGCTTCTTTTTTGATTGTGTAATACTGATTTATAAGAAGTTAGGTTACTTAAATTATTTGTTTAATTAACCCATTCAGACATGTAAAGATACTCCTACATGACAGGTGAGACTTTTATTCATTCATTCAGAGGATGTGGGCTTTGCTTGTTTGCCACCCTTTTATTGCTCATCCCTAGTTGCTGTTTGGACAGTAGGTCTTGATCTGCCACAGTGCTATCGGGATGGAGATGCAGGGGGCAAAGAGTGAGAGAGTTCCAGGGTTTTGACCCATTGACAGCGAAGGACAGGTGATATTCTTCCAAGTCAGGATGGGAAGTGGCTTGGAGGGGAGCCTGCAGTTGGTGGTGGTCTTGTGCATCTGCTTCTGTTGTCCTTCTAGATGGGAGTAATTTTTGCAAGGAGCTGTCTAAGAAGCCTTGGCGGATATCTTGAAACGAGACCTTCTGTCCCAGAGGTGTTGATAGTACCACTGCTCCACAAAAGCCCTAAATTATTTTTATTCGATCTGCTCAAATATGTTATGATGTCTGGTTCAGGTGGGAATTGAGCCTGGACCTTCTGGCACACAGATCGGGGCACTACCACTGTGGTACAAGAACTCGTAAGCTAAACATACTTTGATTCTAAATGTTTTCTAATCAACCTGTTCAAAGATGTTATTCAATACATTTGAAACAGGTACAGCTTGAAGTCAGGCCCTCTAACCTCAGTGGTAAGGATACTACCACTGCACCACAAGAGTTCTTCAAGGATTAATGTCTGGTGTTGAATCCAACAACATTGGCCAGGAAGGAATCAACACAAGATTTTGATGTTATAATCACCGTGCTCTAACCTTCTGAACTATCTGGCTGCCACTGTACTTTAATTCTATCCTTAAGAAAGAAAGAAAGACATCGTCCATGATTTGTAGATTTTTTAAAAGGTATATGTTGAAGCATTTATTGTTTTAGGTGCAGGTATTGTGATGATTATTGGAGTGGCAAGGTGATTGGATTGAATCCATGTACTTAGTGGCTGGACCATTTCATTAAAACTTAAGATGCAAATGTCATGAATATTTTCACTATTTCTTCTTCCGTTGAGCATCTTGTGTTGCTTTTGGTCAAAGACTGGTCTTCGAGTACTGTCGTGTGCCCTCATTTCCTTTCTGCCCAGGCCTGTTATTCTAGATGCCGTTTTCCTTTTATTGCTTCTTCTGTCAAATGGAACAAAACACATAC